TTTATATACATATCTGTTCTTCTATATTCCATCTGGTTGAGAAAATGAAGATAGCTGGGGGAGCAGAGGAGACACAAATGTCTATTTCATGGAGTTTCTGCCTTATCTGCCTTATATTAATTTAGCAGCTGGCTCAGAAAATCCAAAGTAGCTAAAAAAAAAAGCCTGCTTCTGCTTCTGGTCTCTGGGGATTCTAGATGTTCTTCATACCAACCAGACCAATAGTCTCATCCATAAGTTAGGTTATATGAAGCTGCAAAGATCTTTCCAATGCTTCTGACCTTAAAAACATATTTAGAATGTTATGAGGAAGGAGCATCCGCTAATAAAATATTAGACATGGTTAAATCAGACCACCCAAGTAGTTCAAGCTGTTTGATGATATAGTTTAAGGGCTCACACCTATGAGAGTTCATCTATCCCTTCTTTATTTGCACACTTAGATTCAATTTCCCTTTACCAATAGCAAATTTCATTCGCTTTACTGCATCAAGCTTTCCGGTTGTTATATAGAATTCAGGTTTCTAATTTTGATTATAGTCATTAAAAAGACATATTGAGATTTGAAAAACCCAACTCCACATTTTCAAATGGGGAAGCTGAATAGTTACTGAGATTTACTAAAGAGATTTACAGATAAGAATATACATAAGAATCTTAGCTCAGAAAACTAAGCTAGTCTACATATTTTCCTGAATCTCCTGAGGGATATTTTCAGAAAACTAATACACTTGGTAATATGCTCAAGCTCTATAGCTTACTAACTTTCAGCACTACAAAGTTCTCTCATAAAATGGTTATGTTGACAACGTCTTCTCATGGGCATATTATGAAATATAACTGATATATTTTATGAAATATACATATATATTTATCAGCATTAAAAATGTTATCCACACTGTTATTATTATTATTCTCTGTTCCAGACTGTGAATTTATTTGGGAACCAAGTATCATAACTGTATATTTAGTGCTTGATACAACATGTGGCAAATCTGCCTTTTCAATTATCATTTCTCACCAGGCATGATGGTTAGGTGACAGTGGCTGGTGAGGCTGAGATAGAAGGATTATGAGTCCAAAGCTAGCCTCACCAACTTGGAGGTGCTAATCAACTCAGTGAGAACCCTGTCTCTAACTAAAAAATACAAGATGGCCTGGGGATGTGGCTCAGTGGTCGAGTGCCCCTGAGTTCAATTTCCAGTACTCAATTTTCTAATGAACTAACTGTCTATTTTGGTTAATTTCATTGTTTTCCACTTTTAAAAGACTAAAAATAGAGACACTTATGAGAAAAAGTCATTTACAGTTAAGGCAATGTTATGCTGAATATTCAGGAAGATATGTCTTAAATATGCCTATCATTCTGAAGAATGCTTATTGAAGTGTTAAGGATATTGTGCCATCTTCATATATGTACATCTTCTCTTAAAGAATTCAAGCAAAAAATTAAATGTTTTAGACAGAGGATAGGCTTAGTGGTAGAGAATTTGTTTAGCATGTTCAAGTCACAGTAAAATCCCCAGAACTGAAACAAACAACAACAACAACAATATATTTTCTATTTGTACTTTTAAAATTTTTCTTTAATTAAATTACCTTCCGTGATATATTGTTGTGCATCTGACTTGAAAGTTATAAACATTATATTTTAGCATCCAATTTGAATATAAAAGCTTTCCTTTTATTTTTATTCTCATTAAGTATCATTGCAAAACTTGAAGTATGCAAAGTAAGATAGAAATATATGATCTAGAAAACATGTTAAATTCTTGTTGATTTTACTTTCTTTACATTCATGATAGATAAAAATCATTTTAATATATTTGCCCTACTATATGCTTTTACTAACATATACTTTTACTTTCAAATAACCATATTGAAATTCTTCAAAATTAGCCCTGTATCATATATATGTAACATTTATCTTAGAAGTATTAGGTTTTTTAATCCATTAATAAAAATTTATTTTTCTCATGTCTTTTATTTATTAAGTGTATATTTCTTCTTCCTGACTCCCCCAAATTATGGAAGCCATATTTATAGTATAACAGGATTTTATAATTAGAATATTCCACTCTAAAGTTTGTGAATATTTAAAGGCACATTTTAACTAAGGGATATTGTATAACTGCAGAAAGATTAACACCCAGTTATCCATGAACTCCTCTTTTCTCAGGCTCATTATTTATTTGTTTCATTGTTTTTCTAATCCCCATGATATTAAAAAAGAAAGTTCTAGAAAGTTTTTATCTGGATGTTTTTCAGATACAAAAATTTTCTTCAAAAATTTTGTTACATTAAATAAAATTTAAATGGTAAATAATGAACATTTTAAGACTTTTTTTAAAACTTTTTTTTTAGAGAGAGAAAGAGAGAATTTTTTAATATTTGTTTTTTTAGTTTTCGGCAGACACAACATCTTTGTATGTGGTGCTGAGGATGCCAGGTGATCGTGCTACTGCTTGAGCCACATCCCCATCCCAAGATGTTAAGACTTCTAATCTTTACTATCTAATTATATCACAATTAGAATTTTAAATAGACCTAGATACAAGTAAAATTCCAAAAAAAAAATGAATAGAAAATGAAGAGCATTAAATTGATAGATAATTACAAGTTCAGATAAAATCTTCTATATTGTAATTAGGTGCCCAGAAATGCCACAATTCCATGTGTTAACCCTTTTAAAATGTTAAGAACTTTTACTTTATAAATCAGAACACTTTTTATCAATTTAAATTTTGGTAATTACATATATAGCAGCAGCAATTTTGAAGATCTATGGGAAGAAAAAAGAAAGAAATATATAAAATGTGCACATTGATTTGATTCCATCTGCATCCTAGGAGAAATAATCCATAAAATCAATTCAAATTTTTAGCCAAATTAGAAGTCATTTAAGTTAACCAGGCCTTTCCCCCATTTTAAGAAGGAATCAAAGTAGTACAAACACTCCCAAAAAGGTTGATACATTGAAACCTTCACACATATGGTTTTATCAGAGCATATTCTCTTTCCTAAGTAAAAATAACCTCCTTCTGAGAATAAAATCTAAAAAGAAATCTCATTCTTGATTATCTGCAAAGCTACAAAAGCACTTATGGGCCTATTCAAACCTCAGATAGGCAGAATTTTAGGGAAGTCCATTCCTGAAATGTATCTTTATTTCCTGATGTGCTTATTGCCAATGCTATTTTAGCTGTTAGAGTATCTTAAAGACATAAAAGCAGTTGGCTAGATGTTCTAAAGATGATGGCAGTAGCCTGCAGCTTGCATAAACGCTACAGGGTCCATGGACATAGTTGCAATAAAGCAGAACATAGAAAACACAGCTTATATAAAACTTAATACACTCAGCCTGGAAGAGACTTTTAAACATTTGCTAAAATTACTTTACAAGCAGGCATGTTCACTATAAAATCATCGTAATGGAGAAATAAAGCAGAGGTGCAGAATAAAAAGAAAGAATTTCTCCCAAACAGTTCCATTTAAGCGTCCAAATAACCACTAGGTTTATCTTGATAGAATTTATAGAGTTTCTTTACATGAAGATCCCCATTCATAGTTTTATGGCATAGATAATTATTTTATTGGATGTTGTCTCCAAAAGCTTTCATGTTTTTATAACTATACATATCTTTGACCTATTTGCCTTCCAGATTTGTGTGTGTATGAGTGTGTACTTTCCTTTAAGTAAGCTTGGTTTACAGGCTATACCTACAACTACAAATACCTGTAAGTTGACATTCAATGTGATTTAAGGCAAAAGGTTATTATCACATTACTTTTTAGAGAGGAGAATAGACAGTATCAAGAGAAGAATAATTGTAAAAAATATTATATAAATGTCTTTTTTTCAGTAATGAATTCAGGTAAGATAACAAAATCAAATCTGTTTGGAAATAAAATGCATGGGTATTCTACCACAGAATTCCTGCTTTCTCCTCATTTTCTATATAAAAGGAAAATTTCCTCCAGGAATGTGAATCCATATGGCATATGCAGTAGAGCAAATTAGTCATAGGACATATTTCTGGGGAAAATGCAGGATGAAGTTTCAGTTAATTCTCTTGCTCCCTCTGTGTGTGTGACTTCCCACTTTCCACAAAAAAAGCTTATTCTCTACTTCATTAAGTATGTTATAAAATTCACCTTGAATCTGGAATTTGACAAGTTGTAAACACTCAAAGGTCCATCTCACTCAAAAAGCTAAAAATACAAAAATTAACATGAAGTCTGCACCCACTCTACCACTCCTTTCTAGAGTTCTTTGCCAAACTTTCACAAGAAGATTCATGGCAGGGCAAAATTGCCTCAGAGAAATGTCACTCTGTGATTAAAACATGCAGAGATTCTATGGGACAGTAACATCATCACCTGGAGAAAGCTCTGCTCACTGGACCCTGCATGTAGTCGAGGTGGTGGTTGAGTGTTGGTGGCCAGCAGACAGCATATCTGCACATCAGATATTGTTCTAATGCAAGGTTTTCCTCTCCTGCTGCTGGAGCAGGAAGAGGAAAACAGTTCACTCCCAGGATTCTTCACTACTTGAGCAGACTACCTCTTCTGCAAAGGGAGAGGCAAAGTACATCTGGCCTGGGACCTTGAACTGCATGGGAGGAAAAGATCAACTGCCATATAAAGAAGATGCCATTGCTGAGAAAGCTGCATCTTAAGGTTCAGGCACAAAACCTGCCTAAGAGGAGCAAAGGAGCTGAGCCGCCTCTCTGCCCTGATTAGAAACCCCACATGTGGAAGCCTGTACACATGTGCACACATGCACATATGCAAGTAAAATAATGTAGAACCATATCATACACAGAGTACAAGAAGAGAGAAATGCTTTAGACCAGGGTAAACATGAGACTTAAGACACAGTTACCAAAGTCATTATGAATTTATGTGGCAAGTTTATGTGGACTTCTGATGTCATTAAGATAAGAAAAAAAAAATAGGAAAATCTTTTTTCCTGCTTATTAGAATTCTTATGTGGAATACATACCAACACCCTGTGCTCCTCTTTTTGAACAGGGCATTTGTAAGAATCAGTTCATTGTAATTTTCTTCTTTTTTTTCTTCTTCTCAGTCTTGTTCTTCTCCTTTGTCTTCTTTCAATCTATAAACCCCCAGACCTTCAGACCCTATTTTGAGAGCACTTATTCTTTTATTCTTGGCAGTTAGGATTTATGCTTTTTCTCTGGGTGACTATCGTCATTTTGACTTAAATATGCTCAGTTCTCACACTCACTCAGTGTGCCTCCAGTTACCTTTTAGGTTGAAATCTCTGTAACCACAGCAAGACCCCAAAGGGACTTCACTTACTTTTCTGACAACTCATTCTGGATTCGGATTGTGGTACCAGAAATTTAAACATTGTGTTCTCCATCTCTGGGGGCTTCAGTTGGGGGTCAGGGTGGGGTCCTCTTGGAATTTCAAGTCTCCCAGATCTTTGGTTAAGCTGTTATTTGACTTTTTCTATATAAGCAAGAAACAGAGTTATTTCTGTCCCTATAGGGTAGGTACTGCTTTTCTGACATTGTCTGCAAAAGTATCAGGTGAAGAGGGCAGATTGTTTTAGGCAATTATGGGTATTGTACTCCATTTTGCTGATTATAATATTTTGCTATGTTTCTGCCTTGTTTAAATTCCTTGCATTTTGAGTATCCTAATATTTCAGAACAATAGAAAAAAAAAAGATAAATTTTGGTGTCCCAGTGATTGAACATGATTCAAGAATTCACCACACTTAGGTGACTAAGGCCTCTTGTACTCAGGAGACCCCATGTTGCTACTTATGATTCATCCTTGGTCTCATAGCGTTAGCCTTCTTTTTTTCCTCCTATATGTGACATGACTACTAAAGAGAGAGCATTCCTTGCAATGTGGAATTTTTAGTTCTTTGTGTCAAAACAGGGAATTTACCCCCAAATTTGTGCAGATGCTAGGCAAGTGTTGTAATAGTGAGTTACATTCCAAACTAGGAACTTTAGTTTTTATCTCTTGAGAAGCATCAGTCAATTATCAATATTTCCCATACAAAGACTTTTAAAATGGAAAAACAAACAAACAAACAAAAAAAACACTTAAAAATCTCTCAAGAATAGGTAACTTTTTTTTTTCTCAAGTCAAATAGATTATTCTGACATAATATAGAAGATTTCTGTGGACTCCATGAAGCAATAAAAATAGTAAATAACACTACCAAACCCTTTTCCTTTGTTTACGTTGTAAAAGTTATATTAATTATCATGCAGAAAACTATGCATTCCTGAAATAATTCTAAATTAATTATGAAGTGCTATTCTTAAATATAAATACACAAACTAAGGTCAATTTTCAGGGAATTACACTGAGGTAAAAAAGTCAGTCAGAAAGTGTTATACAATGTAGAACTCCATTTATATAACATGCCTAAAATGGCAAAATCATGGAAGTGGGGGGCAGATTACTGGGTGTCAAGGATGGAGGAAGGTGTGGTAATTAAAAGGCAAAACTAAGGATCCTATGAGATTGTTCTGTGTCTTCACTGCATCTATATCAATATTTTGACTGTGATATTGCATGAGAGCTTTGCACAATGTTACCTTTGGGAGAAACTGAGTAAAGGGTAAAGTAGTTCTTTCCATATTAATTTCTTATAACTGCCTATGAATCTTTAATTATCTCAATTTACTTATATAGCAACTATCAAAAACTTGACTTTTCAAAATAATGTCTCGTCATTTCAAATTTTCTAGAATATATTACATGTTTTCCAAAAACTTTAAGAGTGCTCGTTCCTTAGATACCATGTGTTCTTTCTAAATGATGATTATTATTGTGATTTTCATGTAACATTTTGTACTCCTATGATGCATAGCTTTGGTTGATCACATCATAAAATTTAATGCAGTAAATTAAGGTCAGATTGACATGTTCTACTGCATTCTCATATCTATTTCAATATTATTACCAAATTAAATGGACTATTTTAAAAGTGATATTTCAACTTAATTTTTAAATTTTGTAGCATATTCTCAACTTATAATTTCAAATAAAT